TCACAGGCAGGGAACAGGTGTTCGTATGGGAGTCACCCGAGGTCATCGGAACACAACTCAAGTTATTTTTGGATTTTTTAGAAGTAGAGCCGTGTTCTATTGGGTCACCTGAGGTCATATGCGGGTGATTATTCATTTTGTTTAATGTATGGATTGGGATGAATAAATACCCGATTTTGACTCTATTTGTGACATTACGGCGACATAAAGAATGTGGAATGGAGCCTTCTGATTGGTCAACGTCACCCGGCTATATGATAAAAGACTTTTAAGATTCTGACAGGGTGTATGTTTCAACAACTCTGGGTTGTTGCATTTTATACAGTAGTGGTAGGTAACATGATAGGTAGCTGGCAAGTGTGTTACTGCAAATGCACTTAGTTTTGCAGTAGGAGGGGAAAGGTTTTGCTGTGTTTTAAGTTTACATTTGAAACGATTCACGATGTCATGATGTCTCCAAATTTCACTAAAATAAAACCACTGCAAATGTGAACAGATGGAGATAACAGAGACTGAGATAGCAGAGATTGAAGGTAGAGAAGCTTATCATAATGCCTTCTTCTATCTGGCACCTGTTTTCTCAGAGGGATCAGCTGTTAGAAAACAGGTGCCAATCAGCTGTTAGAAAACAGGTGCCAATCAGAAGAAAGTAACAATTTTCTTCTCCAAATCTACCTGAGAGGAGAGTCATCACTGCATGGTCATATTACCGGGAGTAACTTATCTGCTCAAACATTGTTTGACCTAACCTTGCAGTTGCAGAGCTTTGTGATTTCATATTGGTTGACTATATATATTGCTGTACATGTATGGTGTTGGCACACACTGTCTCTGTAAATACAAGGCCAGACTATAAGAATTATCAGATTGATGTGAGGCATATATAGATGTTGATTTGGCTGGAATGGTAAAAGGTACTCTCTAGATCCTGATAAAATGGATGTTTGAACTGCCCTGGTATTGAATTGACCTCATTGCAGCCGGGACTACCCTTTTGTTGCCAAATTTGCACTGGTTACAAGATTAGTTGGCAGGGAAAAGGTTAAAGGCCACATGCAGGTTACATAACAGTAGCTCGGCTCTGGTCGGAAGAAGGTGCCCTAAGCTATCTGGCCGATAGTAGGCTGGGAGCATTCAATTTCAAAAGTCTGTCTTTTTGTCACATTTTCACGTAGTATGTTGAATCAACCCTATCCTATCCCATACCGATAGTCATGGAGCAAAAATTCGATGCCGCTTTGCCGTACGAACGCCGTGAAAAACTACGTGCCTCCCGCCGCCGGCAGTGGTGTCAGCCATTTTTTAAATTTCCGAGCGCTCGCGAACACTTCCGACTTCTTCCGACCAGAGCCGAGGATGAGTCACGTGGTTTACCGCGACCTTTCCCTACCCTGTGCGCCCACGTGACCTACCCTGTGTGCAAAGGATCCTGGGAATTTGCAACTCGTGAATGGATACATTAGCCAGAAGAGCATTTTGGTTATTGATGGAGTTTTCCCTCTTTGACTTTCAACTGCGGAAAGTGCTGTGGGTATTTCGAGAATGCCATACCACTTTTTTGATACCGTAAATTCATTTATTTTTGCGGGGACTTAAGTAAAAGAGGTTTTCACTGTGTTTTAAGTTTGTAATTGAAACAATTTTGTAATACAGTAGGTACATTTTTAGAATGAAAATACATTTTTATTCAGAGGAGAGTTCACTGGAAAAAAAATCAAATATTTCAATATGCTGGTATTGTGCATGTATTGTGGCAGGAAAGAAACTAGATCACTTTTTCAACATACATGTGTATTTATATAAAATGTACATTGTGAAATTACCTGCAAAAAGTCTAAGGCTAGGCCTTAAGGATGGTAACCGAGGTAAAAAATCACTTTCTCTCACTTGTTGGATCTATGAAACCTTAAATGTTATAGATAGGGCAGACAGACATCCAGGAATTAAAGTCTGTAGCACTGCAAATGGTGTGAATCATGATAAATAGGAAATTGTGCTTGTGTTAATGTTCATGTGGAATCCTACAGCTTTGGCAGCACTGTGCATCCGTGGATCCAGGATGACAGATTCGGGGATTTGGCTGGCTTTTTTACACTTGTAGAAAGGCACATAAATCAAAATGCTGGAATAGCTTTTTCCAGAGGGACTAGAGTGGGCTGGATAGAGAGAATGGCAATTGAACAAAAGTGTGATTTATCATTATGTCTTTCCATGGCGTGTGCATTAGTACTGAGGGATGGTTGTTCCAAAATCTTCCATGAAAGACAAAAAAAAGAATTTTCTTGCCGGATTGTCAGTAATGGTGACTGAAACACAACAATTGTATTAATCATTCTATTTCAGGCAATGGAATATTTTCAAGGGATTTGGAAAATTACGGAAAATATATTGTAAATGTAACTTGAACTTGTGTATGATGTACACATCAGCATCAATGTCATTGTATGGGAGATTGCATCTTTTGTGTAGGTCTTTTTGTAAAACCCAGATTAATGGTTCAGTCTATAATGTGTAATGTATACAGTCATTGTTGAGTATCAATGGAAGTACATTTTGTAAATCCAGAGACAACAATTATCATATGCATGTTGCAGTAAATAGTTTTGTAGATTGTTAAGCCACCTTATATGTTGCAGTAATGTTTTTGTCAAGTCTTGTCAGCAGGGCAAGCCCTTTGTAATAGCCACTGGCTAGTTGTTGGGCAGTGCCCTGGCTGTAAGGATTGAAAGCCAAACCAATAAATAAATAAATGCATGTTGCAGTGCCTTTCAGTGCAGTTCAGTGGGGTCGTGTGGTGTAACTGGCAGAGTGCTCGACTCAGAACCAAAAGGTCACGGGTTCGAGTCCTGACATGCCACCAATCTTGTGCCCCTTGGGAAAGACACTATTTATTTACATGACTTCCTCACTTAACTCAATTGAAAATGAGTATCATGTGTCCTGTATTTGCAGTCCTCTGCATTGGTGGCGGTATAAAATAAGTTGATATAACTTGAGTGTGCCGTCACCATGTCGTAATGTTGGAATAAAAAATTTTAAATATGGCAATTTTCTCTTCACATTCCAGAAATGCAGTCCGTAAGGTGATTGACACCGCCAAGAGCATCTCCATCCTGCGCTCGCAGACGCACATCGGGGACGTCATGCACTACGACATCGACAACCACAACACCTCAACATCAACCAAGGACCTGTACGACCTCCTCCCGGAGACCCTCCCCGCTCGAGGGGCGGCTCTTCAACTCATGCGCCATCGTGGGCAACTCTGGGATCCTCCTGGGCAGCGGCTGCGGGCGGGAGATTGACGGCCACGACTTCGTCATCCGCTGCAACCTCGCCCCCGTGACGGAGTACGTGAAGGACGTGGGCAGGAAGTCGGACCTGGTCACCATGAACCCGTCCGTGCTCCCCACGGCGTTCGGAGGCCTGAAGGAGAAGCACTGGGAGGAGAAGTTTGTGAAGAGGCTGCGCATGTTGGAGCACTCCATGCTGTGGATCCCCGCCTTCACCACCATCAACGGGGAGAAATACGTGCAATATACAAACAGACTCATCCTGAAGAATGACCTGAATATCAAGACTCTGTACCCCACCAAACACTTGGCACATTCCATACGAGGGTGAGTAGAACACGTATGATGTCATATGCTTTTAAGCATAGTACTACATGTATGTCATCATACGTGCTAAAACTTTATTCCAACACAAAAAGGTACACAGAGATTAAATTTTCACTGGTGACCACTGACCACTGGTGACTGTCACATTCAGGATAAGAAATGATGACGTTTAAGATGCCTCTGGGCCTAGCTTGCGTTTGTCAAACGAGAATTTGTACCAATCTTCCATTATTCATTAACTGTCCAATTACTCGACCAAATGAAGATTTACGTGTGAGACTATATCTCTTGACACTGCGTTTAACTAAACTTCTCCCAAGAAAGCCTATTGATGATGATGAAATGGTTTATTAAGGATAAAAACCCTGGCAGCCTTACATAGGCTGAATTGTGGTTCTTTCACAATTCATTCATCTTAGACAACATAATACAAAATTCTTATCACATAGATTAAAACAGGAATGTACGATCATTCAATATATTAAAATCAATTAGTGACTACATTATTTTAAAACGTTTTACTTATAGATAAGCTATTTTATATACATGGAGGCCGCACGGAAATTTACATGTTATCATTTAGCAGTCGTACGCAGAAGGGAAAAGTGCTGTTCTGATACCGAGCAGTTCTGCATTTGTACTGAGTAAAGAAGTTGCTATTTCTGAGAGTTCTGAGGTGAGTATCACCCCGTCTAGGTGGCAACCATTCACGGCATTTCTCAGAGTTAACAAGTGAAGTTGCGAATCTTAGGCACAGTTCCTGTCGTCTAGCGTCAAGACGGCTGAGACCGGTAAGGTTCAGAGCAGATTGGTAGTCGGTATAGTCATTACCCAGTATAGTCCTTAGTGCTCTTTTCTGGACCCGTTCAATTTTCAGGGACAGTTCTCTAGTCAGACCGGGGTGCCATAACACGCACGCGTACTCGAGGACGGGCCGAACAAAACCAATGAAGATGAGTATGAGGTCACTTGTCTCAAGTCCGTGCTTCTTTAGATTTCGTAGCACATACAGTCTTTTACTCCCTTTGCCGAAAACTGTAGTCACATGCTCAGTCCACTTTAGGTCGTGCTGCAGGATAACTCCAAGGACACGTGCTGACTGTACCACCTCAAGTTGGGAGGGTCCAATTGTGATGACAGGCGGCGGGGGTGGATGCCTAGCGAAGCAAAACACCATCACTTTGCACTTTGATGGGTTTAAAGCCATGTGGTTGTTTTCAGTCCATTGCGTCAGGCCATTAATGTCGTCTTGAATTCTGGGGACAGTGGACATATGCCGTGATTCAGCAGCAGACATATCATCTACGTACTTAAAACTATTGTTTTGACTGTTGAACATCAGAATGATAATAAATTATAATGGCATGGCCTCACACGCCCATTGCCTAAGCAAAGCTTGACTTCATATTTCTACATGTAGGAACAGAAACTGAGAGAACTGTTGAAGTGACATTCTCTCGGCCAGGTTGCGCCAGTCATCAATCTTGGATAGCGGGTCACTGACCTTTGGAAGCGTTTTGAGAGGAGTGTGTTTTTCAGGCAGGGCTTGAAATACTGGGTGCATATGCACCTTTAAAGTTAGTGCAGGTGAAATTGGGTCTGTGCAGGTATATCTGATATCTAACCTACCTGTATCTAACCTGCCCTGGTCCATGTACAGTAGGCTTAGCACACAAATGCAGGTGTATGTGTATTTTCATTGGCTGTATTGACTGTCATCACCTCAGAATTATAAAAAGAAATAATGGCAGTTGTTTCTAAACAGTTTTTAGTATGATCCAGGCCTGGTATGATCCATACATTTGTACTTCATAAATACTGAATGGTGCAGGGGAAAATTTGTCTAGGGCAAGTAATTTTCAATGTTACATGCACCACTGCAGGTATGCAGAAAAAGAAAGGATTTCGATCCCTGTCAGGTCACCTCTCAGGCTTACGCTCCTGAGCAGGGGTAAAACTGAGGTGTGTTGTTAGCCTCAGGTGGTCCCTGGGCTGTAGAGGGGGATGTTATCAGGATAAGGTAGCAGCCCACCTGGGGGCAGGGCCACAAACTAGGACAGCCGATACACACACTTCAAAACAATCACCAGGCAGCACTTAAATTAAAGAGAAATCACTTGTGCAAGGCCTCTTCAATTAAATTTTTTGGTAAATCTTGGATTAAAAGAAAGATGGCATCCAATGCAATTTCAGGGTCCACCGTGGTAAAAACAAAAATATTCTGGATAAGGAAATCTGTCTGATATTAACATCTCTACCAATTCTTAATACATTTCCGTCATCATTTCATACTTGAAGCGTTTTTTATTGAAATAGCCCCAAAACAAGCTACGTGAGGCATCTCTTTATTTTTTTGGTACCACCCATAAATAGCTTCTTAAGAACCAGCCTACTATACAAAACAAACTGTTCTCTGTCTTGTGATATTGTATTTTTGCTTCACAGTTGATGATGCTACATGTGTGTATATTATAGGATTTATTCAACTTACCACGGTACTGCATTAAAAGAATGACCAGAAAATTGACTTTCACAATCCAGTTTTGCCATCCTGAAATTAGATACCTTTAACTGGAAGACCAATATCAGTGCAGTCAGCGGGAAAAGTGTTTTTTGGAAGTGAATATAGAGAGATGCATGCTTTCTCCCCAGCCCTGTTTTGATCTAGTCTGCACCTGCTCCAGTTTTACTCTAAAATGTCCAAGAGACAAGTAAATGAATTGGTGTGGGCACTTAGTCCACATAAGAGGACTTCTTTCAAAGGACCTCCCTAACAGAATGACCATTCAATATCTGATGAAAGAACTCTGATGAAGTCAAGCCCTCAATGATTCGTTATTGTGGGACTTGACTTAAACCATTTTGATTAACCGAAACTCCAACTCTTTTTCTCAGTTGCATTTCATCTCTCTGCAAAACTAGTATGTAATCCATTTTTTTACTAACAGGGCCAGAATTGAGTAGCTGCACAAACAATCAAAGTTCCTTTTATCGAGCATTAAGTAGGAAAGTGCGGCTGAAACCATTCTGGGGTAGACGATTCATTAGATAAATTTGGTTGAGAGCTGCCAGCTATCAATGTGCTACACAATAGATCGTCTTCCATGCCACATCATGCTGTCAAACATTTCTGTCACATTCACAAGAGTGAGGAAAAGAGATTTTTGCCATAGCAGTTGTGATCAGTTGTGGTATTTCAAATGCATCGATCCTTTCATCCGAATCGTTCCCTTGTCATCGCTGTTCAAACGTGGAGCTCATCACTGAGCCAAACTGTCTGCAAACAAGACAAATGAACACAGGACTGGCATTTATCAATTTCCCCGGCTGGATAGAAAAGTGTTCTCGGGGTATTATTGGAGTGATTGGTAGGGATGCTCTCTGCATCAGTTTCCATTGGATGAGGCTTTAAATGGATTTAGGGAGAGCGAGCGAGATGTTTTAGGGAGGAGATTTATATGATTGACTTAGTACTACGCCTAAAGCTCAGACAGAGTGATATTAACCTTCAGCCTGCTAAGTTAGCCAGTTGTTGCCAAATTTATATTGGTTTGGTGTTATGCAGCAGGGATAGATGCATGTCATGCACAGGGGAAGAGAGCACTGCATGCTGGGAAACAACCCCAGGAAATGCATCACTCTGCCCCCCTCCCCCAATGGATCAGCTTGAAAATATCAAAGAGGGGACTATGATCTACAAGGCTTGCATGTAGGTTGGAAGGATATATGAGTCACATAAGCAAGACATCTAAACGTCAAATGTTACTCCTAAGACTGTCTTCTTCCAATACCTTCTGTTTTGATTGAAGGAGGGACAAATATCCTACAACCACAGAGGTATACAAAATAAAATTTGAAAAACGCTCAGAGAGTTGGTACGTTTTGCCTCCACCATCGTTGTTTGGAAAGACGTACATGTACAGCTAAAGCCCATATTGAATAGCATAATAGCCTTGTGTGAAAACCCATTCATATACTTATCACTATCATCAAAGAAATAGCATTTTATATGTAGTGTCCGTGGGGGATATGTGTTGATGATGACAGTACATGTTCCATAGGGACTGCCATCTGCGACGTTCCTCATTACAGATGACATTAGGAGTCAGCCATGCAGGCGCTAATCGTCTAATTCATCACACATCAACCTAATTAGTCCTGACACTGCCCAGATGCTGACACTGTGATGACTTGTAACAAAAAGAGAAGGCCATGTAAGCATCAACGAATATCAATCTGTACCTCTTAATTGGCAACAGTGTTGGCTAGAGCTGTGTACCTAAACAAATTTTAGGTACAGGTACAGGTACAGGTACACAGGTTTAGGTACAGGTCCGGACCTGAACCTGTACCTGAACAATTCGACCAATTTATATGCTCTTCTGAACTCCTTCAATAACAAAAAAACATAAATAAACTTGATAGTTAAGGTTTATTCTTTGTTTATGGCGAATGCTCAGATAAAATATAGGCAAAACTAAGATGTTTTTGTTTTCATGAACACACTGTCCTTACACAGGGACCCATTGTTAACCAGACATTTGAGGTCACAAATAGGCATAAAATTAGTGTGAAATTGTTTAGGTACAGTACCGGTACTGAGGGATTAGGTATTTTGGACCTGTACCTAATCAATTTTTCCGGTACAGTATCGGTACTGCGTACCGGTACACAGCTCTAGTGTTGGCTTATTGTTTGAATTGTGAACTTGTAAATATGACTGTTTTGTAAGGGAAAAATATTGGATATTTAATTAATCCATCATTATGCCAACAGGCATGAAAACGTTTCAAAAAACTACAACAATTTCACAGTAAACACAAAATTCAGCACCAAGGACAAGTGCAACTGAGTTTCAGCACCATGGACAGGGACTGTAGATTAAGGGTACTAGTAGTTGTAGGACTTACAGTATTGTCTAATACTAGTATGACTAATTGATTCCGAAGGAAGGCTACATGTTGCGGTTTTAAGTATTGATTTAAATGAAAGGTTTATTATGATAACCAAAGGTGAAGATGATAGCCAATGTACCAATGAACAAAGGTCTCCTGTTTTCTTCCTCCTGTGTTCCTTCGTACTACAAGAATCATTTAACTGCAAAGCGTTAACTACATTTCTTCTCCTCTCCTAGGTTCTGGCTCCAAGCCAAGACGAGGATCAAGCGCCCCAGTACCGGTCTCTACATGTACACCATCGCCACCAGGTTCTGTGAGGAGATCCACCTGTACGGCTTCTTCCCTTTCACGGTGGACGTCAACGGGCGGCCCGTCAGATATCACTACTACGACAACGGGAAGTACAACTTCTACGACAAAAGAAGACCCCATTCCATGCCGGTGGAGTTTCAGGCACTGCGCAGGCTACACGACAAGGGAGCACTCAGGCTTTTGACAGACAAATGTACATAGTAGTAGAAGTAACGTGCTTCGCCTTGAGGCCTTCGCTATGTCTCAGAGTTTGCTTGTGTTATCGTTCTTACATTAAGATTGTATCAGTTAAGATTCACAGTTCTTAACAGAAGCAAGATAATAACTGAAGATGGAGAATGTTTTGTTTTACTAACTATATACACAATGTAAAATGTATTAAACATTGCATTGCTTTTAATGGGGTTTGAATGAAAACTTCATCTTCAAAACAATTGAATATGTTTCATAAGTTATGCCATTTCACTAAAAATGATAACAGTTATTGATTGAGACTTATTGTACCATACCAAAGACATACAATCGTCATGTAACTTACCAAGATGCTATCATGATTATAAACCATGCATTTGTACCACCAAAAATTCTCAGTATACATGTAATTATAATAATCAAAAAGTTGATGCTGAGTATATTCTCTCACTGGATAGTACTAGTCCTGTTGAAAAGGAACATGCTGTAGAGCAAAGACAAAATTTTCTTATGAAAAGAAAGTGATCTTTTTGAATAACAAAAAATAAAACAAAATGTCAATATAGAATATGGCTCTTAACATATCAATTTGTGAGGTTTGTCAAAGTTTTGTACAAAAGGCAGAAAAGTAAGAATTTTTCATATTAAATGCACAGAAATGATTTTAAAAATTGCACCAGCACCACCCCACCCCCTTCACAGTCTAACCCCTAAAAAGTAGAATCTAAAGTACATGTATATCTAACGTTAGAGAGGAACTTTTTGATACAAGAGAACACAGATAGATGAAGACTGACCTAAAATGAGTTTGAATGTCATTGCCCGACTTCATATAATAAAATGAAAAAAAGAACTGCAACTCTTTGAGTAGTTGTGATCACACTGAAGCCAGACTGTCTTTTTTACCCTTTAAATGATTTTTTTTATAAATAACAAGGTAGGCCAAGAATATAGAATAGATAGAAAAATATCACATGGTGCTCAAAACATAATAAGACATAACAAAACATTAAAAAATGTATAACTTTGTTCTCATGTGAGAACATTTTCTCTGTTGTGTTTTTCCTTTAAACATGTAACTACCAACACAGGTGAACTTATATAAGATCATAAGAATGTGTTATTGCTACCACACAGAATAAAATTGCACACTAGGAAACAAATGAAAAAGTTGTATGGGCATTGAAATCAGTGACACAGTGTCTTCTTTGATCTTATGAGAGTGAGTTCTTTGCAAGAGATACTTAGGTCCAAATACACTTTATGTTTACTGTTGCTATCATCATTGAAAACCACAGTCCGCTTTGTCAGTTGTTCTGGTACATGTACTAAACCTCTGTACCTGATGTTAGGTTTTGTATGCATCCCCTGTGTTAAAAGGATGGATAAATACACTGTAACAGTAGCAAACTATATTTAAGAAACCACAAATATGTTGGCGTTATTAGCTCGGCCTTCAGGATAGTCTAGATTGTACACATATCTTTAAACATTCCTTCAAGGGTTTCACCTCTCTATGCAGAACAGTTTTATTTTCCCCAAGGGAAGAAATGCAGAGAGTTTTGTATGCTAACGTTTTATTTTCAAAACTAGTATACCCCATGGTACTATTATATAGTGATTTGCTTGCCACAATCTTGAATAGCACGATAGTATTCTTTATACTGTACTTGAATATATGTAATATTGTGTACTAGCTGCTTGTTTTTAGTATACATGGAAAAAACAGATTCGGAAAATACCTTCATGATGACCACAACATAAAGAAGATACAATTTGTCAGTAGAATGAGGGAAGACCTTCAATTTTATGTGTGGTCAGTATCTGACAGGAATAAACAAATAGATATATACACGTACAGTGCTACAAGACTTACTTTGGCAGCATGATACCAGCATATTTCAGATCACTGTCAAATGCAAACTTAGCTGTTGAGATTTGCAATATTTGTATACAAAATTTTATAGACCTTATACACGTACAATGCTTGTTGACCTTCTATTCATTTTTGTACAGCTCCTCTTTAATGATGCCTTGCCTCCTATGACTATTGTACGGGACGTTTTCATCATTTTGTATGTCTCATATTCTGTACTATATAGTAGATTTAATCTATATATAGCAACTTTTTAAAATGATCTCAATCTATTTATGGTAAGTTGAATGGTGAAAAAAAACGTAGATGCATATAACTCGAATATGAGGAAAATTCTTTTGTTTTTGATCTCAGTGCATTAAATTTTAAGGTAGTTGATGGGCAAAAGAAAACTTTGAATATGTTCGACTACTTATAGTAAACAGTTTTTAGTACTACTGTAGAAATACATGTACAACTGCAACCGTTTAATGCAGTTTGGCAGATAATGATAACTATAGTTTGAATAAACAAGAATGAAAGTATCAGTGTCTGTGTGAATTATTTATGCCCAGAACACCGGACCATCATTGAATTTGATAAAACACAGAAAGTGCCTGGAAGTAAGGTAGTAGTATGCACGCCTGTACTTCATGTACACTAAGGTGGAGACAGGCAATGCCGCACTACCAACCAAGTCCCTGGAAGGTCCTGCACCCTTCTGGGTGTCATGCTCCACAGACCACGAATTATGAAAAATGAGCATCGGTCTCCAAGCAATAATGACTGACCAGCTTATTCAGGTCAGCAAGCAAAACTCACATTACACAGCCCAGCGCCATCTGGGTACAGGTAGAGAGGTGCATGGGCCTTATTGACCTAGATTTGGAATGGAAACCAATTATTGGAATGGAAAGGAGTTCTGATGCGGTACTTCACTTTCGGACCAGATGGGGTAACTAAGAGATGGAAAAGATGCGCTCGGTCAGTGGAGCACCCAAAAGGTTTGTACATGGAACCATCACGTTAACGAGGGCAATATTAAAAGGGGATTGTAGAAAGGTAGTGGGGATCAAAGTACTGATGATGGGTGCATAACAGGGTTAGATGGGAGAGTCGTATCACAGGTTGACCTATTTGAGATCATAATGGCTCAGAAAGGTCTTTTATGATCAACTCTACCGGCCTACCTGTACTTGCATCATGCACACCTTTGGTCACATCATTAGTTTAAGTGCATTACCTGTACGAATTATAGAGTGACACTTTGAAAGCCTTTCGGTATACTGTAATGATCAGGCTCCCATTTCTGTGCTTTGTGTTGATAATTTTATGGAGAAAAAAAAAGAACTGCATTATGCTTCATAGTCTAGAGCATGTCTTGCACTAATCTACACATATTTTCGTACATGTATAAAGTTAACACATTCTCTCTACTAAGTAATTCACCCTACGCACTCAAATGCTTACATGTAGCTCTATGCAACCAACTATGCTGAAAAAGACTGCTGGATATTGGTTTTAGCTACTGTACCTGTTTTCAACCTCAGTAAGGCCATGTTGATTTTGATTATATGGATGACATCCTCTCGGAACCCCAAAACTGATGCGTGCGTGCGAATAAAAAAAAAGTTTTGAAAAAAAAAGTTAGCTTTCACTATGAAATCTACGTGGTCATGAAGGTTGAACAAATGGCACAGAATATGTTATGGCGAATAATCTACTCTTCGAATTCATTTCTTTACATTTTTGTCTTTTTTCCTTTGATTTTGGCATTCTACGACATTGGTATCGTTTCTAAATGTTTTCCTTGCAACTTATGGTATATTTTTGCTCATTTAGCAACTGTTTTGCACGATTTACAGTATGGTTGAAAAACTTTTTTTTTTGGAAACGGCCGAAAATTCATGCGCGCGTGGATGTCATCCATATAATCAAATCAACATGGCCTAAGATATCTTAAGTGAATTGCTATTTACTTCCTAAGCTTGCTAGCAGAAAAACAGTAATTAAATTTGGCAGGCCTGCAAGCCTCATGGATTTTCTCCTGACTAATCTTACCAGGGAGTCTCATTCCAGAGGGCGCTGAGTCACGATTTTCCTTCAAGACAAAAAATCAACAACTCTCAAAGGGGCACTGATGTCGGCAAGTAGTCGGTCTAAAAATAGGCAGCCGTGACCTAGATATATCACCGCGGGCTAGCTCCTAACACCTGAGATTGTTCTCAACACTCTGGGGACTATAGATTTTGGACTGAGGATAATTGTAATTATTGGAAAAGGGAGAATCAAAGCGACCAGATGATTACACACCACCACCCCACACCCAGCCGTCCAAACTACCTGGAGGAGCATTAAGCATCTTTGCTGATGATGAGTTTTCTGTACGCTATTGACTGATGGCGATCGATTTTAGAAGGCAGAGCAACTACGGTGGTGATGTAACATCAAGCAACAACATACTGGCCAAGGTATCTATCTTAACTGTTTCCTTCATTATGGTATCATTGCTTAAACTTCTAACTTTCGGCTTTTTTTTCATTTGGTATCAGGGTTTAAAAAGATTTTCAAAAGTCATGTACTCTTTTCGAAAATAACCCGTTCCAGTGCTGTATTGAATGTCAGTAACTGATATGATTATTGAGTAAATGGAAGAGATGAGTTTTGCTACCTTAAACACTGTAAATTTGATCAAATGTATGTGGATAGTGTTCAGTACCAAGGACAGGTTTGCCTATATGTGGAAGGTGTTCATTCTACCACTGAAGGAAGTCTCCGCGAAAAAAAATGAATTTACAGTCTCATAGAAAAATTGGAAAGGAGTGTTATATTTCATACAATGGTCAAATGACAGCTAATTCGTAAAAAAATCGTTTATTTGTCGAGAACAGAAAGACAAGTATCCTGTAGCTGCTCCTTCCTGCGCTACATATAAGTGGCTAACACTGAGACGGGCCGCCATTGGTCTTCATAATTGAATTATCGGCTTCACATTAATTAGGGTGTTTTGCACACCTGTGTGAGTTCGACATGGTCGGTTCAACATGGCGCTTTCGTACGACGGGAACTCTCAGGGCTGACATTTTTTTACAACTTTCTGTGTACTTTTTAGAGTTTTCGTCGGCAGAATGTTTTTACTAAGTGTGCAGCAGAATGTTTGGGAGTTTTTGCTGTGGATTGGTGCCTTCCTGGTGACGTTTTGAAGGGAAAGTGCGGATTTCCTGACCTGGCGAATTTTGGAGAAGACACCAAAATGGCGAGGCAGTTAGGAAGAGTAGCGTGGCATGGAGACGACTTTGCTTTTTGTTGCAGGTAAACCAGCAATTTGTTTGGCTGAATCATTCTCTAGCAACTATACTACGAACATGTCAAGTTACATTCCGTAATAAATGGCCTAGTTGTGTTTTAGAGAGCGACCGTTCCTAATTTTAGACAGGCTTTGAAAACATCAAGTTGCGGCGTTTTCAACAACATTTTCAATGTGCGGTGCGCGTGTACATGATTGTATAGCATCAGTTGTATGTGCATGTGTTTTTTGTTGATTGTTCAGCGTTTTGAGGTTATATTTTTTGAAAGAAATGATGCATTTACCTAACCTTTTTCTCTTCTTTATCTCCACATGGTTCAAAGCACCTGTTGGAATGTGCACGTGTACATAATTAGATATTTTGATGATCCCGCCAAAAGCTCACTTATTAAACAAAATGGGGCCTTCAAAGCCTTTAAGGCGCCGAAATGAACACGATACATGGTACTTTCGTTATGGCTTCACCACTATGTGCTGAAGTCATATTGTTTTGCCCCATGTTTCTTCTCCCTCTCCTCCTTCTCCTGCCATTTCTTTAAATTGATTCATTTTTGGGCCAAATAACATGACATTTGGCCTGAAGGGAGAGTGGGCAAATACCCCCAGGCGTTTTTTCTCTCTTCATTTTTGTGATACATGCTTTTAGAATAGTTTTATTTGAGCTTTTTGGCTGTGTTATTATATAGAAAATGTACTATACCAGTGTGTTCCCATATTTGGGCATGAGTCATCAGAATGGCATGTAGAGCAAGCAACCAATAGGCATGCAGCTTTCCTCTATTCTTCTTGCTGATTGGCTGTTGGGATTTGATTGGGTTAACTCAATTAACACCTGTACAAAGCCATGTATGAACTGCATTCAAGTGTTTTGGTAGGTATGTCAAGCTTTCCTGCTCCAGCATTGGAATGCATGGCATAAACGCTTCATTTTATCTTAAAAACCAACAGTTTGCATTATGCAATTGAAAATCCCAACCAATAATGTAGGGGATAGCTACCCAACTGTGTGTATAACTGGAAAGCTTGTTTGTTTCCATTTTAGACTAATTCAGTAATTGTAATGACCAAGGCCGAAGTACTTGTGGCGCTAAACACTACGGTTAACTACGCTGGAAGTTCGCAATAATTCAGTTTTCAAAACAGTTTGCTTCGAGTTTTTTGTCGTGTTTTGAAACACCTGTTGAAATGTGCACATGTACATAATCAATTATTTTGATGATCCTGCCAAATACTCACATAAACAAGATGGGGTCCTCAAAGCTTCAAGGTGCCGATGCAAAACATTTGAGTTGACCATACTTTCGTTATTCATTATCATTTGCAATACATAATTGAAAAGCTTTGTCGTTTCCATTTTAGACTAATTCAGTAATTGTAATGACCAAGGCCCAAGTACAGTTGACTACAATGGAAGGTCTCAATTGCAGTTTCCAAAACATTTTCCACTGAGTTTATAATGCATTCCACAAGTTTCAGTTAAACGGGTTTGATTTATTTTATTGTTGTAAAACATTTCCTTTCTCCGTTTTTATGGCCATTATGTACAGTTCTCGATGGTATTTTTGTTTGAAAGTAAGGAAAGTTAAGGTGTGTGTGCTTGCATTGCTAGCGTTGAGAGTAAACATTGCAATTGGTGAAGATACGTAAAATGTAACATTATCAGTGTAAGAACAAAACGAGTTAAGATGTAGCATAATATTGTCTGTCAAACGCATGCTTGTAATTTAGTTCAGGTTATTGCTTTCTTGCAGTGCCCTTCTTCTCTGAAAGAACTCTCCTACCCCAAAATGTAGATCAAATTCCACATCCATAACATAAGAAATTTTTACCTCAAAATGTATAATAATGACTCTCATAAACAGTAGGAGTAGCATCATGCGTTTTATATCAAAGTCATACTTTGTAAAGCTTGATCCCCCTAAATTGTTTTGGGTGCCTCTAAGACAAAGCTAAAAGTCTAAATCTTGGTTGGTAAGATTTGTTTAATGTATTTATGGAAGTTCTGCAATGTATGACAAGCTGATTTTTCTTCTCATAGAATCCTGTGGTGAGCTGTGCTCTGAGGGTCAGCAACCTGTGTCAGGTGTTCAGTACCGATTCGATGAGACTTGTGATGGCAGAGGCACCGAGTGATCGGAGTGACAAAAGTAAGTTCTGCGTTTTCTCTACAGCTACTAAGAGACAAGTGTGTAACTTCTAATGATTGTCTGTACAGGCTG